GGTGAAAATTTCATGTCATTAGCACCTCTAGTAATATATTTACTGAGAAAAATGGTGAYGTGTTCAATACTTATTTTACCCACTGTACCTTTATTCATCCACACATAACACAAAAATCCTATTTAACATGTCTGAAAAGAGGTAGGAAGAAATAAAACTTATTTAATACCCCTTCTCCAATACTCCATAATTATACTTAACATTCATCCAGTTTTCAGAGTTTTAAAAGTCTATGATGTGAAAAAGAAAAAAAACCAAAATGATTGAAACTGAATTGAAATAAAGATCAGAACAAATAAAAAAATAAGATGTGTATTAGCCACAGGTGTGAATGTGTAAAACTAATATCTACTTCAAATTATCGAATATCTGATGTGTAAATATTAAACTTTGGAATTTCATTTATTTGCTTAACTACTTTAATTATATTTTTTGAAATGGACATGAAATAAGTTGCCAATTCATTTAAATTAACATTAATTAACTAAATCAGCATTTAATGTCTAATGTAGCATTTTAGAATTTTACATCAGTATTTAAAGAGTGTTCTGTGTTTGTATGAAAAATAAATTTCTGATTCTTTTAAAAATGATCAAACTGAAGCATCTCTATTTTAAATCCACTAAATTACAAAACAAACATTTTCTTTCCAACAAAAATCCTAACACTACAGGAACTGTTATCATTGTAACAACATAAGTTAAATGAGATTAAATGAAATGAAAGAATAATTGACGCCACAAGGCAGTGCATAAAAATAAGTTAAATCAGTTCAGTCTCAAAACTGTTTGCTCCTAATCCATCAAACAGTATTTATCCATGAAATTCATTTTTCACCAAAAATAGTGTAAAATTACACGTTTTTTTACTGTTTACACTGAAAGTACATTATATTTTGTGTGTTTTTTTTAATCATCCTAATTTAGTCACCTTTATATCTTCACATTATTGATAAACACGAGAACAAACTAAATATTCATTGTTCTGAGTTCATTTCTTCTCTGTCCAGTCTATCACTACCAGTTCAGGATCCAGTTTATCAACCAGACTGACAGGATTGAGCCCACTCTCACCATCTCCCTGACCGGAACAAAGGAGGAGAGTGGAGACCTCACCATCACCATGTGAGCACAGATCACCCTCCGTCAGGCTCACATCACATCTAACAACCAGTATGTGACACATGCAGCACACAGCTGGCCTCTCAGCTCTGCTGCATGAAAAAAAATTAGAAATGAGCACGATGGAATAAATTATTTAAATCTGACGGTATTTTCTGACCTGTTTGTCATCTTCATGCATCAAGGAGCATCAGGAAAAGCAGTGCAAGCAGAGAAATTCCATTTCTATCATGACAGATTAGGAGATTCATACAAAAAGAGAGATTGACATTTGCAGAATCACTTACTTTTGTCTCTTGCTCCTTCAACTCTCCCCCAGAGATGAAGGCATTTCAGGGAACACAACCTTCACCTTCCTGATCACGCTGGACAAAGACCTGGGAGAGCTGATGCTGCTCAAGCTGAGCTGGGAGRCGTCGGATTTGTGGAAGAACGTGTGGAACCGGGTGCAGATTATGTTTCCTTGGGCCGGCCAGGAGAGCAAACCGCAGCTGACTCTGGGAAAAATCAGCGTCAARGCAGGAGAGACGCAGCAGAGGTACAGCTATTCACTCCAGTTAGGATCCCATCTGTGAACAGTCAACACTTTTTACACATACAGCATGTGTTGTCCAATGTGTGGCTGGATTCTGGTGAAATACACACATTTCCAAGTGCAGAAAAAGTATTTTTCATAAAGAAAATGTTGAAACTGAAATAAATACTTACTCTGAACAAAACTCTGCAGTTTCACAGGAACAGGAGAAAAATGAACTTCTCAGGTCAGAGCTTTTTTCAGTGAGCAGCACTCAGGTCAGCCAGTTCAACACCTGGACGTTTTGTACCCCACAGACTCACAGAGCTTTTCTTTACCCCTTAAATAGGCTAATTATTTATTAACATGTTATCTGAATCATGTATACGTTCTTCAGAGTCTGAATACACAGTTCAGCTGTTTTGGTGTTCTGCCAGAGTGACTTTGAACTGTCAGCTTCAGCACAACAAGCTGTATATTTTCTGCTTTGAGCTGGGAGAACACAGCATCTATCATTTACAAACAGGACTAAACACTGTGCTGTTGCATTACAGAACCTATTTCCCTCAAAATGTCATAGTGAAAGAGATTATTCTTTAGATAAGTATTTGCAAAACCCTACAAAATTGAATCCATCCTTTTGTTTAACTTGTTTTCTCGAGGAGTTGTAAGTAATGTTTGGTTTTGTTTCTGATCTGTTGCYCAAATTAGATGTAAAAAAAATAGCTTTTTATTTCCCAAATCACATTTCCTTATGAACACCTAAAACAATTTAATGATGTATTGTTTTTATTTCTTTGGGATGGATATTTCAGATTATTTGGTAATAAAAAACCCTCTTGTTAAACAAGTCAATGATGTTGAATGCAGGAGCCACCCAAACGTTAATGCTGATTTACTGAGAACCTCTCTCTAAAACAAATGAACACTTAAAAAAGATTTTGGAGCTTTGCTGCCAGCAGGAAAATAATAATAATAATAATAATAATTTAAAAAAAAAACCTGCTGCAGCGGCATCACAGCATTTTAGCGCCATCTACTGGATTGATTCCCTACACGCAGGATTTCAGCTGTTTTAACCTCACAAGAGTCACTCCAGGTAAATAATGTTCTCTCTCTTTTTGTAGGACATCGTTCTGTGCCATGACAAATGAACAACACGTGGAAGTTGCTCAAGAAAGAGAGTTTGTTCGCTGCAAAGAAGACATGCAGCGGCGTAAAAGAAAGCATCAAAAGGCTCCTGAAGACTGAAAACTTTCCCTCCTTGTCATCAAGTGGTGCAGATTTAAGGGTTATTATGAAAGAAACACAGAAAATGCCTTAAAGTTAAAAATCTAATAAAATTATGTTTATAATAAACATATATATTGGATTTTGTAATAATTGTATTTTTTCAGAGGGATTTTATAGTCAAATGCCAACAATTATTAAAAAAAATATTAAACACATAGAAAACAAAAATCAGAAAAAAAAACATTTTACTGTTCATTTCTAAACATGTCTTAATTAAAACAAAACTACCTAAAGAGCCATATGTTCATCAAACCAGAGCAATAAAGTATTTTTTTAAATTCTGTCTTGTGTGTGTTTTAACTTATAAAAGTTCATATATAGTCTCACACACTGACTCAGATGCAGTGTTCAGGTTGGATCGAGATCAAAGCACGAGCAGTAAATACGAAAAAAAGAAGTTGTGATTGAATAAGTCAGGCATTAACAGTTAAAAGTTTCACTWAAATCCTTAACAGCTCTAATGTCTAAAAGCAAGGTTAATAGAACTTGGTCGTGATCTTATTAGTCTATGTCTAAAAGACACAACAGCTCCCTCTCCTGGCCAAACAGCCAACCTGCAAAAACAGTAAAACTAAAGTACTAAAAAGATGTCTCAGTTTCACACAACACAACAGTTTTCATTAACTGTTTCATTCTCTTTATTCATGTAATTCAAATAGAATTTTTTTGCCAACTTTGTAAAACTTTAAAGTAAGCAGAATGAGAAATGCAACAAAAACAAAAAAGCAAAATGATCAAACACAAAACTGAAGACGTTATTAAAAAAAAACACCAGAGGCAATAAAATCTGACAGTAGTTGCACATTTTTACCATTTTGATTCTCTCATTCCATAAGATCAGTGCTTCTCAAAGACATTTCCCAGAGTATTAACCCAATGCAACCCCACACCAAAGCACACAAAAGACACAGCAAATCAGTTTGCATACACACACAAGTATRAAAGCTGTAAAATATTGGAAGCTAAAAACAGCACCAAAGAAAAGCAGCGAGATTACATAAAAAATTTCTAAGTTTTGTTTGTTTGAAAACGGTTTCAGGACACAAAGATGACTTTGATATGAAAACAGACCAGTGTACTTTGTGTGCCTGCCTAAAATAATTTTTTAAAATCTTTGTGTTTTTTTTTCCCCCGGTGAAGAGGCCTGTTACGCTCTGCATAGATTAATGTTGTGGCACTGTGCAGAAAAATAGCATTAAGTTGCATCAGCAGCCCAACCAGCTTTGCTGCTTGAATGATGGACTTTAGTTTTAAGGTTTTAATGATATAAGTTCGTATATTTCACCAGAGACTCAAAATATGAGTATTCTGTGACCTCATTTACACATCTGTGAATCTGAGTAATATTTAGCATGAAGTTAGGCTGTGATGGAAATTCGATCGTTAAAATAAACCCCCCAAAAGAAGACCGGAATAAATTTTTAGAAATGCAAATAAGAAATCTGTCTACTGGTTAATATGAACATATGTAGTAAAAAATAATACATTTCTGACATTCGATCTTACACTGCCATTCCCAGTCTTTTCATGCCAACAGTTCAGAAAGGTGCTTAAATAAATGCAATCCCATATGTTGTCACTGAAACTTAAAAACCAACGTTGCTGCTCTCAGTAGGCACATTTTAATCTGATAAACACACAAAAACAAGTGTAACAAAGATAAATAACGCTTCCTTAAAAAATTAAAGAAAATAAACAGCAGTAAATTATATATTGATTGTTCTCTGATAAAACATCTATAACAAGCAGCAGCGAAGCAACATTAAAATAAAATCTCTATATTTCTTTCCCCTCCAAAAAGGTTTCAGCTCTCCCCAACATAAACAAATATAATCTAAACTGCAATAAAATGCAATAAAAATCAAAGATGAAAATCACATTCACAACCAGACAACCTCAGAGTTGCAGCAGAGGCAGAAAAGCATGGTATTTTTATCAAGTGGTTTCATTTGGCTTTAAATTTAACTGCTAAATAACCGCGGAACAAGAAAAGGCAGACAGAAAAATACAAATAAAAAAGTGATTAATTAAATAGAACAACTACATCGTGGCACAAATTATTTCCTGTACAAATGTGCCACTAGTTATTTTCCAGTTGTTTTACAATTTGTTAGATTTTATAACAGCTGGAGTTTAAAAAGCTATAATTTTTTAACTATTTCAGTTCTGGATTGTTTTTTTTTTTGTATGTGAATGTAAGTGCAAAACCATATCCGTATATCAATATGCATATTTTATATTCTCCCCTCTTACAAGGATCATTGTACGTATGTTCAATAATAAAGTCATGTATCTACAGTCTGAACACCCTGCGTCCTGCTACGTGGCAKCTCATCTAAACCTTTATATAAAGGCCTCAGCCAGAAGGAACTTCATCCTAATTATTCATGCAGCCATCTTTACACATGTCTACCAATGCTTTAAAGAACCTGAGAAAGACAATTAGACCAGTAAAGAATCATAAATATGTCAGAATGTCAATTTCACCGCAGTCAGAGACAAAAGATGCTGCAACATCTGCACAGTTGGGATCTGCGTGTCAGGGAAATACTTTGTGTTGAAAGCAATCTTAACACACAAAATAAAATATCTTTGCAGACCGACATCTTTGTTTTTAACTGACTGTGCTGACGGCAGCATTTCAGTGAGGCAAGAAAAAACAGTCGCACTATGAAGGACAAATAAAGGCAGACAAATAAACTCTTTTGTCACATCCATTCAGAATTTAAAACAAAAATAATTCAAAGAAAAATAATATTAAGACCACATAAGAGAGAGAGAAGAGTAGTGTATTACCTTCCCTTCCTTTCCAATGAAAACATATTTATTTCCTATAAAAGCTATATGAACCTCTTTAAATCTCTTAATCTGGCTCTCAGAACAAAAGGTTGTGAGCAACTGTTAGCCCTCATCATTACATACACAGAAAAAAACCTACATTTGGACATTGTCCATTAAAATATGTTCAGTTTCAAGTTAATTGACGTTTGCATTATGTTGTAAAGATAACTCTTTGGAGTGAAGTGCTCCTGTTGTAGGCACTAAGAAGCAAGGCAACGAGTGGAGCAGCGGCTCACGGTCTCATCGGTCTCATTTGGAGTTGTTCTCGTTGGGCACGGCTGTAGCCTTGGTTTGCTCGCGGAGGTTTTCTCCTCCTCAGAGTATCTGTGAGACAATTACACATTGATACATGTTCAGATTAGTCATGAACAAGATGATTGATGAAGTGCAACAGGATTTTTTTAGCACATTTGAGTCCATCTTTTATTCTCTATTGCCAGAAACTGTATTTATTAACTGAGTATATGTGAGTTTGACTATGAACAGAAAACACCTTTTGTACTGTAGTATGTACTCTGCACTTACTGTATGACAATTTATTCCATTTGATGCTTTATGTTTTAATTGCTACCATAAATCAGTCATGGTCAATTGAAATTTGCTTTCTTTACTAATAAAATCTTCAATTTTAAAGTGAAATAAAACTTCTACAGAGTAACACCAAATAAAAAATATATGATGTAAATAAAGTGATTGTCCTAAATGATGGTAAATGGTAATGGTAAGTGGACTGAACTTATAGAGCRCTTTTCAAGTCCCTCCGGACCCCAAAGCGCTTTACACTAACAGACATTCACCCATTCACACTCACATTCACACACTGATGATGGTAAACTACACTGTAGCCACAGCTGCCCTGGGACACACTGACAGAGGTGGGGCTGCCATGCACCGGCACCACCGTACCCTCTGACCACCATCARTAAAGGAACAAAAGGAAGGAACTCCGGGTGAATCTCATCCAGCTCCAGCGCCCTGCCACCGAGGAGCTTTTTAACCACCTCGGTGACCTCGGCACCAGAGACTGGAGAGTCCAACCCAGGGTCCTCAGGCTCTGCTTCCTCATGGGAAAACGTGTCGGTAGGATTGAGGAGGTCTTCGAAGTATTCCGCCCACCGACCCACAACGTCCCGAGTTGAGGTCAGCAACGCACCATCCCAACCATGAATAGTGTTGGTGGCGAACCGCTCCCCGCCCGATGGCGGACCAGAATCGCCTCGAAGCCGTGCAGAAGTCTTTTTCCATGGCCTCTCCAAACTCCTCCCATGCCCGAGTTTTTGCCTCARCAACCACCCAAGCCGCAATCCACTTGGACTGTCAATACCTATCAGCTGCTTCCGGAGTCCCACAGGCCAAAAAGACCCAATAGGACTCTTTCTTCAGCCTGACAGCATCCCTCACCGCCGGTGTCCACCAGTGGGTTTGAGGGTTGCCACCACGACAAGCATTGACAACCTTACGGCCACAGCTCAGGTAAGCCGCCTCGACAATGGAGGCACGGAACATGGCCCACTCGGACTCAATGTCCCCCACCTCCCCCAGAACATGTTCGAAGTTCTCCCGGATGTGTGAGTTGAAGCTCTGTTTGACAGGAGACTCTGACAGACATTCCCAGCAGACACTCACTATACGTTTAGGTCTGACTGGCAGCCTCCCACACCACCACAGCCAACTCACTACCAGGTAGTGGTCAGTTGATAGCTCTGCCCCTCTCTTCACCCGAGTGTCCAAAACATGCGGCCGCAGATTAGGTGAAACAACAACAAAGTCGATCATTGAACTGCGGCCTAGGGTGTCCTGGTGCCAAGAGCACATATGGGCACCCTTATGTTTGAACATGGTGGTCGTTATGGACAATCCATGACAAGCACAGAAGTCCAATAACAAAACACCGCTCGGATTCAGATCGGGGAGGGTGTTCCTCCCAACCACGCCTCTCCAGGTCTCACTGTCATTACCCATGTGAGCGTTGAAGTCCCCCAGCAGAACAAGGGAGTTCCCGTTTGGAGCGCCATCCAGCACCCMCTCCAAGGACTCCAAAAAGGGTGGGTAATCTGAGCTGCTGTTAGGAGCATAGGCACAAACAACAGTCAGGACCCGTTCCCCCCACCCATGGGCAGAGGGAGGCTAAACTCTCATTCACCGGGGTGAACCCCAACGTACAGACACCAAGATGGGGGGCAATAAGTATGCCCACTCCTGCTCGGCCCCTCTCAGCATGGGCAACTCCAGAGTGGAAGAGTGTCCAACCCCTCTCGAGGAGACTGGTTCCAAAGCCAGAGCGGTGCGTCGAGCTGAGTCCAACTATATCTAGTCAGAACCTCTCAACCTCAAACACCAGCTCAGGCTCCTTCCCCACCAGAGAGGTGACATTCCACATCCCTAGAGCCAGCTTCTGTAGCCGAGGATCAGACCGCCAAGGTCCTCGTCTTTAACCACTGCCCAACACACTATTTGCCTAACCCCTACGGCCCCTCCCACAGGTGGTGAGCCCATGGGAAGGGGGACCCATGTCTCCTCTTCAGGCTGTGCCCGACCGGGCTCCGTGGGTGAAAACCTGGCCACCAGGCACTCGCCAACATGCCCCACCTCCAGGCCTGGCTCCAGAGTGGGGCCCTGGTGACCCGTGTCCAGGCAAGGGAACACTGAATCCATTTATTGTATTTATCATAGCGGTCTGTTTTTGAAAAATCCAAAAACCACCTCAAGCGAGTGTAAAATCGTTTTTGCAAAATAGAGGAAGTTTTTTTGAATCGTGCCATTTCTATTCACCTTCTCTAATGCGATACGTCAAAATGCGCATGAAAAAAAAACATTGATGGAAACACGGCTAGTGAAGAAGGTTTTTTTTTAATTCTTTTGTAAGGAAAGACCATTTATATTGACCATGATTGATTTATGACAACAAAAACCTTAAAAACACCCAAGGGGGTGGATACTTTTTGTAGGCACTGTGTTATAAAATAAATACCCAAGAATTAAATCTCAGAATATAAAGAAAACAGAAGTCAAGTATTTCTTGATGCAACACTTCTGAAAACCAAACTCTTTAGTTTGTACCTTCAATTTTTCTTGCTGGAGCAAGTTTGGGGTTGTTGGTGGGGGTGTGGACACTGCAAATCTTAATGAAGCCCGCCATTAGCATAATAAGAGCAACGCCCATCAATAGCACTGCCCACCAGTGAGCCTAAAAACCAAAAAGAAAATTTTAATTAGATCTAAAACATAGAAGAGCCAAAAAGGAAATGGGAGCAGTGGGGATCCTTTTAAATACACAATAAAACAATTCCTTATTTGCTTACCAGTATTTCTGAGAGAGCTGTTGTATTTACTGAGTAAATCCATGTAAGAACACTCACCACGATCCAGTCAGCAATATTCTCATAAAGCTCTGGATTGAAAATGGCTTTCTTTAGCCTTGCCAAAGGCCCGTCAGCATCCACAAGGCGGCACCTCATGAAGACATCGCAGTATCCCTTAAAGTCGTTGCAGGGGGAGCCAGGCTGCAGAGATAACACTGTCCGGTTAAACAAATGGGCCCACCTGTCTGAGGCTGTGCTGCTGCAGGTGCTGGGGTTCACTGGAAGGAAAGGGAGTGGCATCTTAAAGGTCATGAAGACTACTTCAGTTTGTCAAATAACTGTTTAAGTTGATAGTATATGTTAAATGCAGTAAGAATATCCATCAAATTTCTAAATATTTTTTGTTAAAGAGGCCAATACATGGCATTTCCTACAAACTGCATGAAAATCAGAGTTTGAATTTCCATTCAGAAGAAGGCAAAATGTAATAATAATAATAATAATAATAATAATAACAATAATAACAATAACAATAATAATAATAATAATCAGAACTTTGATATTGGAATAGTATTGGTATCAGCCTGTATCAAAACTTCAGGTATCGGATCAGAGGTGAAAATCTGTGCATCCCTAATGTGACCTATATCTGACTCTTTCACTGCAGTGTGAATTGCCCAATTCTATATTTTTCMCCCCCCCCCCCCCCCAAAAAAAATCCAATTAATCCAATTCTATAYGTGGTACTGATTCTGATACATATCTGATGTTTTTTAAGGTGACCTCAGTCTGAATGCTTGTGTCACATTATGTACAACTACATCTATGAGGTCTGTGCGTTGTTTTTGTTCTTTTAATTTCCCATCATGTGATAACAGAGAATCCACAGCGACAGACGCTAACGTTAGCGTTGGACCGTATCGATTCCAGACAGAGAAGCTTTCCATTTCATTTTCTTCTTCAGAGCTTTCTGTCTGAGCAGCAGGTTCTGCACTCTGTGTGACTGGTTCATATTACTACAGCTGGATGGCTTTTATAATCTGATTCAGTATCAGAGACGGACATGCTAGCAGCCAGATTGTTTATCCAGAGCGATGTCACATAGCAACAACCGCATTTCTTAGAAACAAGAATTATGATATTTGGCTCTGCTTCGTAGCCCAGTTTAGAAAGTGAAATGCCAGTTTTTAATATTTTGTCTTTACAGTTGCAAATAATTAAAATCAGAATTATGATTATAACACTGTGTGAATGTTAGAATTGTTTTTCCTTCATTTGACCTGTAAAACAGTGATTTTTTTTCATCTAACATAGTTGGGTTGTGGGGGTAACCTACATTTTTATTTGACCAAAGGTATCTGGAACAACGGGACTGCTGTGGTTTAAAAGAGCTGTTGTTTTTATTTAGAAGATTTTATATTTGAGAATCTTGTTTAATGGATATGTAAAAAAATAAATACAATAATGTGTTCTTCTAGGTTTTCCTTTTGTGGTTAGATCTGTTTAAGTCTCACTTCCATGGACTTTATGTTATAAATAGACCCACTCTATCCTTTTCAGGATTATGCCATGAATTTTTATCTGTGCAGCCTGGTACTCACGCTTCTCCATACAACAAACATGGCACAGCTCAGCAGCTTCATCCTTTCCATCTTTGCTGGCACAGGTGCAAACGTCTAGTTTGTACTTCTCACAAATAGAACCAGAGCAGACCTATTCAAAACAAAAAACGAACAGAAAGTGAAGTATATTATAAAACCTAGCTAAAATACAAACTAATAAAATTGTCACAAATGGAAGTCAAACATTTAGAGGGAAAAAAATAAGCATACCCCATTAAGGCAAACTTGAGTTTCTGAATTGCAAGTGGTGAGGTTTTGCTTTGGTTTTGAGGTGGGACATGAAGCAGAATTTCCACTGCACCAGCCTTGTAGAGCACATTCTGATGCCTCTCTGCATTTATCACTACTGGTTTTGAAATTACAGTTAGGTTGACAACACGGGCCTTGGCTGGGACTGCGTGAAAAGAAATGCATTTATACGATTAAAAGCAAAAACACAACTTTTAACTGATACCAAGTCATACACTATAGTACARAACAAAATCAGACCTGCAGCTTTTGCCAGGTTTAAGTTTGCACTTTTTGTCCTCTGCTTCATTGGCATTGTAGCAGCAGTCGTCGTTACACTGATCACTGTAGCCGCAGTCACACATCTCTCCTTCTTCTACAAGTCCATTACCACAGATGGGCTGTCCAGACTCTGTAGATACACACAAACACAAAAGATTAAAAATGTGATTCTCACACATGGACATGCAACATTACAAATATGCTCATAGGGGAGGATTTACCAACAAAACAGTTATCTCTCTTCTTCACCAAGACAGCACTTATATTGCGAATGCTGCAGATGGAGAACCTATTATTGTTGATTTTGTCCCCTGATGTGGCTCTGGCATACATGATGTAGTTTCCTTTCTCCTTTAAGTCCTGTTGCTTAGACTCTCCAGGGGTGCATTCAATCCCAGAGTCATGCTGTAAAATTAAAGGCAAGGAAAGTATCTGTAAAAAATGTTTTGTATCTCTGCAGTTTTTCTTTTTTTTTCCTGCAAAGAGACTAATGCTTTTTGTCTTGTAGTACTCACAGGAGAACCAAAGTTGTGTCCAACTTCATGCGCAAAAGTGATGTGTGACACCTTAGGAGGGACGTGTGAGGCATAGTTCTGCACAGTAATGATCCCAGTGTTGAGAGATTTTCTCTTTCCATCGGAGTACAGCCTGCTTTTTTCACAGATGCCACCAGAGCTTCCTGTGGCAGAGTTAAAAAAGAAGAAGGTACAAAATAATAATTCAATATCAGATTATAGAATCAGGTTTTAATATGTCTCAACTATAATCATAATAAATTTGTTGCTTTGCTTTCAGACCTGTTAGTAGTGCTGTATAATAAAAGGTAGATTACCCAGGACGCAAGTTAGCACCATGTACAGGCTTCAGGCAACAACGAACAATATTCACAAGAAATGTTACATAAAAGTAAAGGCCCATGTCCAGCACATGTTAGTCTTCCTAATGGTTATCAGTCAAAACTGACAGCTTCTGATGCAGCTACACCTCTGACAATAGGGTGACCAGAAGACTTCTACTTTGCTCGTGTTAGTTTCGTGTTCATTGTGAACCACAAATCCAAACAGAGTACAGTTAGAGGACTTTTAATTTCTTTTTGGCACGCTGGGGGACATTGCATTAGCATTTAGCGCACTGCTTCTGATAATGATAGACGCTATTTTTAAGTGTCCCGCAGGCAACTCTTGAGGTCCCCGCAGGGACCATGTTGGTGACCCATGTTCTAGAGAAGCCGCGGCCCTGTTAGTAGTGTTTTAAACTTTGGGCTGCAGAGGGCAGCGAGACCGCATTGATTTTGAATAAGGTGCAATACACTTTCTCACCACTAGTAACAGTAGTGCACCACTCAGATGTTTAACAACTTTTTTAATACATAGAAGAACCTTAGCTACCTGCCAAGAATGGAAACTCTTTTTAAAGGAAAAGTAGAAGGCAAAAACGAAAGCAACCCATCAAAAAAGGCCAAAGTTTGTCAATAATATGAAGTGCAGCTTCTGGTTCTACCATGCAATATTTCAAAAGTTCAAAACATTTTCAAATAAAGTTACAGATACAGCTACTGTATATTTTAATTTGCACTTCATCAAATTTATTTTTGCAGTTTATTTTTAAACATTTTGAATGTATTCTAAAGAAACTTTACTGTTTGTCACTAATATGAAGAGCAGCTTCTGGTTCTACTAAAAGTTTTAAAAGGCTATATTTTCATTTGCACTTTATCAAACATTTTTCAGAGTTTTTTGTTTGAAACATTTTATTTGAAACATTGAACATTTTGATGGCATTTATTTTATCACCTCAATTTTAGTTTTTGAATTGTCTTTTTTTGTTATTGTTTATGTTAAAAAAAATATTTTTGTGTTGATAAGCCTGAGTGGTCTGTTCACTGACCATTGTATTTGTTCAAATAATTGTTATGGGCAGGTTACAACACAAAAAAATGTTTGTTATAATCATGTCTTGTGATTATTTGACAGGACTTTTACTTTTAAACTGTAAGTGTATTTAATTTAGTTAAAAAGCAAATACAATAMAAATTAAACCAAGATTTAGAATAATTATCATTTTGATCTGTACATTGGTAATGTCTGACTGGGCCTTGTGCCACTTTATGTTCAACAAATTGGGCCCCGAGGTAAAAAAGTTTAAGAACCCCTGTCCTAGATGATACCTAGCCCTACTTGTCATCATCATGACATTTGCTTAAAGATGTGATTGACGGTATCTTCAACTAGGACGTGATGGAACATGATATTCCATTCTTCAAAGCGTTGTACAAAATGAATCRACTTAAAGGGGACTGTGGCCAACATTTCTAAAGTAAACAATGTTTAGAAACTAACAGTGTTTGCATGTTTAACACCAACCTGAAGGAGCTCCAACCCAAGCCAAGCCGAGCACACCATCATCAAAGTCCCTGTCAGTAAAGACATAGGCCAGGCAGTAGTCATCATGGTTCTGTTCAGAATTCAGTTCTAAGAACTTCTCCACACCAATGTTTGGGAAGCGAAAAGGATTAGATTTGTCTTTTTCAACATCTGTGGAATTTATCTAGAAAATTGAAAAATTAACAACAAAACAAAACAGTTAAAAAAGGGGAAAAAGTCAGTGAACATTAAATTGTTTACCATTCTTTTCACATTAGTTTATCTTCTTCAGGTCAGTTATTTTATAAACTGATTCTACACCGCAGCTCGTATCTTCAAACTGTAAATAGTATTTTTTTACCATTTAAAGGGGCAATATTATGTGTTTCTCAGGCATATATTTAAGTTTTATACCATAATAAAGTAATAATGTCACCTTTAGTTGTTATTAAAATGCTGTTTACATGTTTGAATATAAACAGCATTTTAATAACAACTAAAGGTGACATAATTAAAATGCTGTTTATATGTTTGAATAGAAAATAAACTCTTCTTCTCATCATTTCCATTTCTAAACACCTTGAAATTGGCCTCTGTCTCTTTAAGAACCTCCTTCCGCTTCTGTCCCACCCATTTCAATACGGGGGATGCACACGCTGTGATATGGAAGCTCAGTGTAGTTTACTTGGCATCTGAAGGTACATTTCCTCAAAGGTATTTTGAATTTGAAAAGGGCTGTGCTGAAAATTAATACTGGGAGCTCAGCAGATAGTTTCAGTTTCACTTTCAGTTTCACCAGTTGTTTGCTTTGTTGCTGCTGAGAGCCTGCAAGAGTGCGGGGGTGGGGAGGTGCGCTCTGTGATGAGGAAGCTCRGCTYRGAGACACAGCCCAGAGGAGGAGCTGGTCCCAAAAGGTGGTTCTAGTCCCAACTGGTTGTTTTTGCTCCCTTGCCTGGCTGCCTCAGAACACTACAGGATTTCTCAAACATGCATGAATGAGTCAAAGCAAGACTCTGGGCATGTTTTTGATGACAGGATAACATTATAGCATGATATAAAACTCAAAAAAGTTGATTTTAAATGATATAGCCCCTTTAAAGTTTGAACATATGAGATGTGGCTCTACCTTTTTTTTCATGAAATTAAACTTACCCTGACTCTTTTAACCATAAAGCCGATGTTTCTTATGCCCATAAAGTCTGTGACTTTGTAAATGGAATTGATCGCCTTCACATGACTGGAAATCTAAAGAAAACGTCACAGGTTAGAAGAGTGGAAAGAAGCCATCGGTCAGTATGGGACCCAGACGATTTGATAACCTTGAGACAAAAAAATAAATAAATAACTGTTTCATGGTATTAAAACAAAAGGATTAAGTGCATCACATTTTCTAAATGCACTTGAAACCAGAGAAAAACAAAAGGAGTTGCTGCCATGTGAAGMAGAACATTTGCAGTAAAAGACATTGGTGCAACGCTCTATGTAGCCTGATCTGCAGCTAAATGCAAGGATCAAGTCCAGCTAACAACTGGCATCACAGATGTTACAGCCGCGTGATTTTAATGAGTTCATCATCTAACTAAGTGGTTGAAGTACATTATTCTATCAAACCTATAAAACTCAAAGAAAAGTCACCTACGGTATCTGTTTACACACCTGAGCAATGACAGCCTCTTGTGAGCCGTAGTATTTATAGAAGAAGTGATCGGTCTGGATGAAGAGCTGGCAGGTGTTTTTCTCTTGCCCAGCTGCCCTCTTCTGTCTCAGAATGATTGGACCATTGGAGCCATCATCATCTTCCATCATCATGTTCACTGTCTGCGCAAAATACAGTAAGTCAGTTTTAATTATTCCCCGTTTATTCTTTAAAATATTCGTTATACATTCGATGAAATGCATTTTAACAATGTTTCAGTGAGTTAGTGAGAACACACAAGATGAGTTTCTGTTCTGACCACCTCAAAACTTCACTACTACTTACATCTATGGAAACCAAAGCATGTAAACACATGCTGAAAACATGCAGATGCTTTTATCTTCAATAAAAATAAACTAAAATGAGRTATCCTAGTTGTAAAAGCCTTGTCCATCTGTGCATCTAATTATGAGTACATAAGAGAGAGAGAGGGGGTTGTTGTTGTGATGCTGGCTCTTACTTTGCCTGGCTCTTGAACTGCAGATGTCTGGTACTTCTTCATCCTTTCAAACACAGAGTGGTCAGCGCAGCCTCCCTCTGAGCCATACTTATGGGGATAATCTGACAGATAAAGAGGAAATAAGGGAATGACTTTCAAGATCATATGCGGCATAATGACAGAATCGTAAGTGGTGGACGCTGAGAGGCAGGTCAGTGAGAATCAGGTGGTGGAGAAGATGAATTTAAAAAATATTACTTGATTGTAAATGACAAAGCTTATCTGTGTCAATAAATCTAAATGAACAAACATCCTCTTCCTTTCAAACTTAAAAAATGTTTAAAATCAGAACAGACATTTTGATTATAAATGGTTATCTTCCATAAACTGGAAAGAATGGTTTGACTTTGATTTAAAAAAGAACTGATAAAAATATACAAAAAAGTAAATTTTGTTACAGTAATGCCCCCTTTCCAGTAGCGCCTAAAATTAAATCTTAAAGTTTTTTTTTGCTAAATTCATAACAATAATTAGTACATTTTTTTGGTCCCCGTGAACCTTTACAAGTTGTAATATAATTTCAGTGGCATGACTTTGGTAAGTACAATTATGAACTATTAAGCAATTTTTTATTGAATGCAACCAGTGACCCCATCCCCTAACCAATCAGTGACCAACAGTGTTCTGACGTTGCGTTTTCAGGCCAGCATGGTAGGCTTGGAACCACAAAGTAGCAGATACTAAAAAGGGGGCTGGCTCCACAAATCCTGGATAATGGAAACGCATTGGAACCGTGCAGAGCCAAGCCGAACTGTGCTGTAGAGGCACAAATGGAAAAGGGGCATAACAGTCCACTTGGGAAAATTTATTTGTATTTTCAGCTACTTTTTAAATTTAATTTGTATTTTGACACTACACATACAAATGCATCTGAATCAGCAATATCTTGCAATATGAAATATCATGTCTAAACTAAAACATTTTAAAAGTATGTGAGCACTGACAATGGTTTTGTTTTTTGTTTTTGTGCAGTTTTTGTGTTGGCGTGACATCTGTTGACAAATAATGAGGGCATGAACAAAGAGAAGAAGAAGAAAAATTGATGGGAATATGTATCAAATCTGGCTCTGAAAGTAAATTTAGCATTAAAATGATGTATAGCATACAGTATTTTATATTTGGTTTCATCCCATCAGCTGATGCAAGTGCCACAAAACAATTACAATTTAAAAATGTTCACTGTCTTAATATAGTGACTACTAGCTGTTAAATAATAAAAACCACAAAGTTTCAGTTACTATTAATCTATAACAATAAACAAGGACGATGCATTTTACGAACTAATGGATTTTAAAATGAATACTTTTATCTGTCAAACTGACCAATGTATGTGTTTTGATGAAACTACTTGAACCGAACTTTAAACTTGGAAAAAGTCATAATTCCTAACACATTGGTAGAAAATAGCCTAAATGTTTCACAGCTGGTTGGTAACTTAAAAACAACACATCTGTGACTGAACTGGCTAAACTGACTGAACACACACTGTGACCACAAATTGGAGCTCTGACAATGTGTTTTTGGTGTTTTGTCTGAAAAAGCCATCTTTGTCTTCATAGTGAATGGTGTCTTGTTCAGCTGCTAATCAAAAGACCTTTGAATTTTAAGCGGAAGTGCAAAATAAAATACTTTTTTGGAAAAGAAGAAAAGGTGAGAGCCRGCATCCAGTTCCAACATTATTTTGCAAATACAAATATTAAAAAAAAAGATTATATGGTTAACTTTAAATAATTATTCATTATAATAATCATTTACAGTGAATTACAACTACTACTACGTATTGTTATTAGTGGAAAGTAATCATGAGGTGATTATTATCAGAGAAGTTTTGTTTGAGGAATGAGACCAACAACATGTTACTGTGATCTAAAAAGATAAAGAAAAGTTTGGTATCTTACTAGTTTAGGCTGCATATCAATCATTTTCAAGAGAGCACAGGATTAAAAAAAAAGATTAACACATGCGGTTTGTGTTTAAAAAAATTGTTTTAGTTTTAAACAACTATAAAACCAGTAGTTTTATTCTACCTCTAACACAAAAGAAACAACAAGCACAACTACTGAACAGTCTCATATTTACACCAGTCTCATATTTAAATAAGCATGTCTACATGCACAGCAATGTTCCAATAAACCAGAAAACAAAATAGTAATACTAATACTAATACAAAATATCACAAAAAAGATATGCAACACTTTCTAATAAACCAGAAAATAAAATCTAGCATGAAGGTACACAACTCTGACCAGGTATGATGGCTCAGGAAAGGCCGTCACTATCTTTAGTTTCCTTCGGTTACAGTGACGCAAAAGATGTAGAGTTGAATGGGGGAGAAACATGAATAAAGTATAAACAACAGTTTCTTCGACTATTCAAAACCTTTTAAAATTATTCCATTTTCACTAGTACTTCATGTTCCCCGGGCTAAAAATATAGAAATACAACACTCAAACTTTCTGTTAAATAATCAATGTTGGCAAAACAAGATTTAAAAGTAATTTCTTCAGGAAGCAAATGGTTGATTTTTAGAACTGAAATATGTTGTTGTTGATTGTTTAATTTTACTAAAAGCTTAACAATACTCTTTTTTGTGCCTGAGGAGCATTTTAATCCAAAATGAGGTTTAATTCAGGACTCACTGTGCATATTAAGGACTGAATCTATCTTAGGAGACAGCTTTGTGAAACACACCAGTCAACTGTTTGCACAGTTAAAAATTGGACCYATTTTARTATTTTTAATTTTTCCTAAATCGAATATAGAAGAACTTGGCAATGCAATCCACCTGTATAGGACCTTTATTAATTAATTCTTTATTAGCTCAGCCTGCTGCTCCATGGCAGAAGGTACAGGASCATTAAGAGTCAGACCAACAGACTTAAAAACAGCCATTTGGATTCTGAACATCAGCCAAACATCTTAAGTGCAACAACTACTTTATTATTGGTTTTGTTTCTGTATACAGTAYATAATGCATATATTGCTGTTGTCCTATATGCCTTTCTATGTTCAATATAACTGTACAGGCTTGTGCAGTGACAATAAAGTCTATTTTATTCCATTCTATAATTAGGACAAAGCTGATATAAAGTCAAAAAAGCAACATTTTCCTAGTTTCTTCATAAATGTTTTACACTTGTATCCACAGTGTGGGAGAAAATAAAATTGTTGCCCATGTATTTATATTTTGACTGTGMTTTAGCTATGTTTTTACTTATAAAATATACTACATATGTATTGTCACGTTATTCTGAATTGTTTTAAACCATGTTGTAAGTTTCCAGTAGGGCACCTTTAATGTGTCTTTTTCTTGTTCTTCAAGCTTAAACATCACATTCTACTGTGGTTTCTGCACAACTGATTGCAGAACTACCGTATTTGTTTTGTTACTACTGGAATGTGAAGATGTAAGTGACGATAAAATAGGAAGTATAACCATATTTTAAGGTATTCTTCTTTGTTGAAGGACCACAGAACAGGATTTTAACTGAAACTAGAAATATTTGCTGCTCAGATAAGAACCACCCCTTGCACGTCAAATAGGAACTGGTTTTGGACTGGTTTCTACTGGAAGAGTATAAAAGATGYTTCAATGGGGCWGTGTCCTCAGACTCAACTTGAATTGCTGTATGCATGTTGACTCTCATTTTATTGCGATAACATTGCTCAGAGACCATTGTAGTGAAGAACTTTTTTGATCATGTATTTCTGCACTTTAACAGACATAGAAAGGGTTTTTTTYCCAACCACAAGAGCAAGCATACGTACGGATGTCGTCTTCATGATAAATGACAGAATGGAATGACACCCTCTTCTCATTCAAATATCTCTCTGAGGGCTCAACATAGTAAGTTCCTTGRTGGGTTTTAATGAAGCCCTCAAAGCGTCCATCAATCACAGAGCCATGGGCCAGTGAGTCCGTTTCACCTGGCAAATACAGCAGAAAAMCCTTGACATGGCATAGTAGTAGAGAATTTCAAAGAAAGTAAAATATCTCTTAAAAAAAGATGAAACACTTTGTGTTTGCTAAACAGAACAAAMAACCCTGTTTTTCCTCATTTTTGCTTGAACTTTAGTCAAAACRTGCACCATGAAGGTGTTTAAATAGGTAGTAATTAAAAGTGTGGGGGCTTTAAAATGCAAACACAAAACTTTATTTTTTAATAAACTTGTCTTCAGAAGTGTGATGAGGAAAACAGTTTGACTCACCAAAAATTTCTCCACTGTAAATATGTGAAGTGTCAGTAGGTGCCTCCTGTCCAGACACATCAACAATGAGATCTGGAGAAAAGAGACTTGTATCTCTCTTCAGGCGCATGTTAAAGTGTCTAAAGAGGAACAGACAGGAGACATTTAACACCCACGGTTAACAGCAGACTAAGCACTCAAAAATGCGAGCCTAAACCAGGACTGACACATTTTTGCATCAGCAATGCAACAAAAGCCTCATACCAAAAACCAGTTGATGTRTGAACAAACACAGTATAACAGCTAAAGGAAGCAGGAAGCTTTACCCTTTTTTGCAATGACCTTCAACCTCCTTGCTCTGCTAGGTGTTGCACAGAGCTGCTGGGCTCAGAGTTACTCAAAAAAAAAAAAAACATTAAGAGAAGAGCAAAGCTTCAACGTTTTTTTCTTTTCTGTTTTTGTACACCTTTTTTAGTGTAAAAATAAATTTTATAAAGAACTAAAAAACAAGGATCACATGGTCCACATGAGCCACCATCTTCCCAGAAATCTGAAATGTTGAATAGATCAAGTGAAAAGCCGCTCCTTAACAAAATTCCTAAGTAATCTCGAGTATAGAGATTGGTGTGCAAATACATATTGACTGAGCCTTTATGAGCTGCACCACTTTTTCTTTTATTATTCAAAACAATACAGCAACAAATAAAAATGCTATTTTTATATATTTAAAATATAATGAAGTGTTTCTGTTCTTTATTTTTCAGTTTGCTCAGTGTGTATTGCAGTCAAATATGAGATAAGGCTCRGATTTTAGAGTAGTCCTTTCATACATAAACAGGTTATAACTACAGAAGTGAGGGCTGAGAAACATTATCAGTGACTCTTAAACGAATCTGCTTTACAGTTTTACATCTAAATGAGTTATGAATAAAATAAAGCATAAAAAATAAAAAGATAGGTCTGTGTGAGTAAAAGTATAGTCTAACATGTATTCAGCAACCTGGCGAAATGGCAAAATAAACAACCCTTTTAGGGTCAGAAACTGTACAGAACCTTCCTGTTCAGGATGAACCTTTGACCTACACCCCCACATTAATCCATGATTCAGTTTCCCATTCTTCTCAGATAGTGCTGAAATGTTTTTTCTCATCATTGGATTCTCTGGTACTTTACACATCATTACTACAGCAACTAAGTTAAATATCTGTTGTTGTTGTTTTAAGTTTTTCTCTGAATTTTACAATATTCAGCTTGACAGTTACCACAAAACCACTTTTTATACAAGTTTCAAATAAATCAATCAAGTGTTATGTGACATTGCAATTGGACAAAAAGTAAAATAATATACAAATGTTAATATCACCATCATAGCTGAAGCAAAATGTATAAGGAAAGGAAAAGGAAGAAGTACATAGTCATAGTCWGTAAAAATACAAAAAAGTCAAGTAAAGCTGGGGAATGCATAGGTAATCATTAGTTTTACCAGGTTTAYATGACAACTGATAAACACAGAACAKGTAACCCAATAGTCATATTTTTATCTTAAAGTATATATATGTTTAAAACATGTTAGTTCACTGACACCAGGAAAAGATAAAACCTTTTGAGAAATTCCACGACAGGAGACTGCAACATATAACATGTTTATCAGCTGACTAAAACTGTTGTTTAGCCAGCACTGGGTTAGCAATGATTGTGATTACCTGTAAAACACCATGTTAAAGTAAAACTAAAAAATCTTACAGCTTTTTAACTTTTTCTCCATCAATCACTGTGTTCTCAAACTCAACACTGCAGTCTCAGTTTATATAAGTTTCTTTATTATTGAGTCACAGCGTGCCCATTTTAGTKCTCTGTGACCAGACAGACCAATTTATTAGCTTTACAAAGTCAACTAGAAAATTGCTACTTCTGTTACGTGAATCAGGGTGGTGTAAAAAAAGACATTTTAATAAAATTGAACAACGTAATCTCAAAAACGAATGTCTTTTGGCAAGTTYACTCTGAACTTCCACTTGTGTTGTGTTAAACTGCCTGACTCTTTTTATGTATTTTTTTTTATAAAGAAACTCCCAACAGAGCCCCCGTGGTCCGTCTCRTCCTGTCACCTGACTGAGCTACAAAATATTCATGTGAGTGGGCATACACAAGAAGGCTTTTCACTTGTTACAACAAGCATCTACACTTTCATAAAGCCTTTATGTTGTCACAAAGGGAAGACTGTTATTCTTTGCACACTCCAGTAAAAGTTAATAATTACACTAAATGTGCTAAGTGTAATATAATAAATCTTTCGTACTCCAGCAGGTCAAAAATGACACATATGCACACAAAAAGTGCATGGCCTGGGGATCTTTTATTTTATTTTTTTAATTTATATAAATAAAAGAAATAAAATAAGAACCCCTGGCCAGTGAGACAGTGCTAGCTGTTTCTCTAAGACAAACAATGGTAGGAAACTGCACAAAAGCAAAAGCAAACAACTTGTWTGGTGGGGCTTTGGTGAAGACTAAAGAAAACAGCCCAGCTAAGCTACTTACTGTAAGTTACTGCCGAACACTTCAGCTTTAGAAATAAGTGACAGAAATGAAAAATGTTTTTTTTTCAACAAATAAGAAACTCCAGAAATACACTGATATAAGTAAAACAAAACAAGTTACATTTGAATCTGGATGACAAACGGAAAAGAATGACTTGTTTATGAGTTAAAACAAACAATAAYATGTAAAAACCTATTAAGCTTCTAAAAAGCCTTCTTCAAATTTATCTTGGTTAATTAAACAATCTATGGTGCTAAAATGCAATGTAGATATGCACCAAGTCTTAGGAAAACATCATACCATTTTTATTTATAAAGCACTTTAAACAGTACAAGGCCAACCAAAGTGCTGTACAGTAGACAGACACAACAGGACAGTTATAGTCAAAATACAAATAAAAATATGGAGCATTTATATTTACAGTACACATAGAACATGGTTATGATACACTGTGAGGTTTTGCACCATCTCACTCAGACCCAAAGGCAAGGAAGTAGTAGTGCGTTTTTAAGCGAGACTTGAAGACAGCGAGGGAAGGACACTGTCTGACATGTAGGGCTGTGTACTGGCAAGACTTTGGCGATACGATACATATCATGACAGAGGGGTCACAATACGATATATCCTGATATTAGGGGTGTAAGAAAATATCGATACACTGAAATATCAAGATATTTCATTTGCCGATACTGTATCGATATTCTTAAACCCTGTTTTGATTTTTTATTAAGGTTTAAAACATCAACTTTCCTGCCAGCCGTTCATTTTTTTGTTGTAGTTCAGCCTCTGACCGCTAGGTGGCAGCAGTGAGC